CTCCTGCAGCAGCCACCGCAAACCCTAAACCCTAAACCCTAAATCCCAAATCCTAAACCCTAAACCCCAAACCCTAAACCCTAAAGATCCAAAACTGCCCCTGCAGCGCGCGTCCCCAGGCTCCCAGTCGCCCAACCCAAACCCCAAACCCAAACCCCAAACCCTACACCCTAAACCCTAAACCCTAAACCCTAAACCCTACGTTTAAATTGTAATCGGAAAGTTTGTCTTCGTCCCGCATTTGCTGTCCATTGACTATCAGCCGCTGCTGCTCCGGAGCCAAACCCTCGCGCTGCTGCAGCTGCTGCTTCAGCTGCCGCACAGTGCAGCTAGGGTCTACGTCTTCCACTGTTATCATCTTGCCTGCAGCAAACCCTAAACCCTAAACCCTAAACCCTAAAGCCTGCGGCTAGCAGCCCCTGTGCTGCTGCGGGCGGGCGGCCTAGGCCCGCAGCCCTAAACCCTGGACGCTAAACCCTAAACCCTAGGTCTTCCTCTGCAGGGCCTAGGGTTTAGGGTTTAGCGTCCAGGGTTTAGGGTTTACAGTTTGGGGTTTAGGGTTTACCGTTCATTGCCTGCACTTGCAGAGAGAGGCCTCCCCTCAGCTGCAGCAGCAAACTCCGACTCGAAGGCAGCAGCCCGTGGCTCTCATTTGCTGCAGCAGCAGCAGCAGAGGCAGCAGCAGCAGCAGACTCAGGTGCAGCAGCAGCAGCCAAGCAAGTGAACCGCAGGGCAGCAAAACACTACAGTAGAGGGTTTACAGTTTAGGGTTTAGGGTTTAGGGTTTTACGCGGCTGTGGGGCCTCGTGCGGCGAAAAGAGAGGCAGCAGAGGCTGCTGCTGTTGCTGCTGCTTGGACCCAATGGCAGCTGCTGGTGAGCAGCAGCAGCAGCAGCAGCAAAGAACTGTTGCTGCAGAGAAGAATGACCAAATGGAGTATCGCATGCTGCTGCTGCGCTTGTTGCTGCAGCGACTGCTCGAGCGCTTGCTGCTATCTGCTGCTGCTGCTGCCGTCGCTTATGCTGCTGCTGCTGCTCCTTGCACTGGTGCTGCAGTTGCTGCTAGAGTTGCTCCTGCTGCAGCTGCTGCCAGAGTTGCGCCTGCTGCAGCTCCTGAAGATTTTGCCGCTGCTGCAGAGGATGGTGCTGGTGTTGCTGCTTCTTTTGTAGTTCGTCGCTTATTCAGCAGTAGTTGCTGCTGCTGTTGCTGCTGCCGCTCCAACTGGTGTGTCTGCTGCTGCTGCTGCTGCTGCTGCCTGCTGCTGCGGTTCTGCTCGCGTTTTTGTACTTCTCTCTCCTTGTGTCTTAACACGCCAATACTTTTCTTCACAAAAGAATAAATCTTTTAAATTATTTCTTTTTAATGTTTCAAATTCCATTCTTAAATTCCAGTCGAGGCAAGAAACCCAAAGAGAGGTCCTGGAAGCCAGGGGGGCCCCTGTGGGGCCCCCTGGCTTCTGGCCTCTCCCGACAGAGAAAACAACCAAAAGTTTATTTTAAAAGTAATTAAAAACAAAATAAAAAGGAATTTAATTAAATAAATCTAAAATGAAGCTTCGTTGCTGCTGCAGGAGCAGCAGCAACTGCAGCACACGAACACAGGAACCTGTGATGTCTGTACACCTCAGTGCCACAGCGACACCTGAAAGAAACTGTTTGCTGCATTACACCAATTATTTATTCAGTTGTTTATTTTTATAAGACTTTATAATTGCATTTGGCAATCTAGATCCCATTAATGCTGCTGCTGCTGCTGCTGCACTGCTCGTGTCCCTTGCATCTGCTCCTGTTGTAGTGAAACTCGCGCTACGTGCTGCTGCAGCAGCAGCTGCTGCTGCTGCTGCAGCAGCTGCTGCTGCTGCTGTTGCAGGGAAGTTGAGGCTTTGTGATGCTGCTGCAGCTCCTGCTGCTGTTGGTGCGCTACTGGTGCAGTCTATGAATGCTGCAGCTCTTGCTGGGGAGCTGCTGATGCCTGCTGCTGCTGCTGCTGCTGCTGTAGTTGCTGTACAGCTGCTGCTTAATACTGCTGCTGCTGCTGCTTTGGGGCTCGTGCTTACTGCTGTTGCTGCTGCTGTTGCTGCTGCTGCTTCTGAGTCTCGGGACTTTTAGCTGCTACCGGGGTTGATGCTTGAAGGCTGCAGCTATGCCCTGCTGCTGCTGCGTGAAGGCTGCAGCAGCAGCTGCTGCTGCTGCTGCGCCATTTGCATGTGCTGCTGCTGCAGCAGCTGCCAGCATCTGCCACGCAGCAATAACCTCAAGGGCCCTAAAGAAGCAAACATTCTCAAATGTTTCATTTACAACACCTTGCTTCCTTTTATCCTTTCCTAAAAAGTAGAAACTATACTTCATCTTCTGCTGGTGCCCAGAGCCCCAGGGGCCCCCAGGGGCCCCTAATGGCCCCCAGGGGCCCCCAATGGCCCCCGGGGGCCCCCAGGGTCCTTCGGGGGCCCTCAGGGGCCCTTAGGGGCCCCCGGGTGCCCCTAAGGGCCCCCCGGGGGCCCCAAGTGCTGTGGGGCCCCCAAAAGCTTAAGAGGGCCCACAGCAGCTCCGCCTCTTCACTTATGGGGCCTCCACAGTTCTGATTGTCTCTAGGGGCCCCCAGGGGGCCCCTCCGGGGCCCCCACTGGATCCCCTGGGGGCCCTCTGGGGGCCCTGGAGGGGCCCCCAGGGGCCCCCAGAGGTAGCAGCAGAGGGGCCCCCCATAGGCCCTTAGGGGCCCCTTCGAGGGGCCCCCAGAAGCCCCGTTGGAGCTGCATGCACTAGCTGCTTCAGCGTTTGTTTCTTATTGTCTTTGTTTCTGTTTCAGCAGCTCAGAAGTGCCTTTTAATGAATTGGCAATTGGAAAAGGTTTTCCTTCACAGCCCCCTGTGGGGCCCCACACTTTAATGCATGCAAGTCCAAAAGCCCCGTGGCCTTTCTGCGGCAAGGGCCCACGGGGGGCCCCCCTGGGGCCCCCTGGGGGGCCCCCGGGGGCCCCAGGGGCCTCCCTGGGGCCACAGGAGGCTGCCACATTTTGAAGAGGTTGAGCTTTCATGCTAATGGAAATAATGATAATTATTGTTGGAGTTCTGGGGCTTAGGGGGCCCCCCAGGGGCCCCAACGGGCCCCCTTGAAGCCCAGAGGACATCTAAGATTCGCGAGCTGAACCAGGATGAGTCTATTAAACTTTTGGGGCCCCCAAGGGGCCCCCAGGGGACCCCCACGGGATCGTAGAAGGCCCCAGGGGGCCCCTGAGGGGCCCCCAGGTGGCCTCAGGGGGCCCCCAGGGGGCCCCCAAGGGGCCCCCAGGGGCCCCGGCATGCGTTATGGTCAAGAGCCGCTGCAGTTCCCTGGCGCTACCGCTGCTCCTGCTGCTGCTACAACTGCTGCTGCTGCTGCTGCTGCAACTGCTGCTGCTGCTGCTGCTTCAATAATCGATGGGCTCATCTAAGTCGGAATCTGCAGATTCATCTTCGTCGGAATAAACCTCCTCGTCCGCGAAGTGTATGTCCACCTGAAGAAACAAACACAAAAGTGAAAATTGAAAAAAGATATTTAAAATAAAACAATTAAAATAAAAGTAATAAAAAGGAATAAATAAAATGGAAATAAGAAGGAGACAATTAAAACGAAAATAATTGAAGGGAAACAATAAGGGGAGGGGATACTCTAAAGTGCGAAATAAAAACAAAAAAGAATTAATTTAAAAAAGAATTAATTGAAAACAAAAAGAATAAATTTAAACAAAAAGAATAAGTTAAAAACAAAAAAAGAAATTAGAAATAAAAAGGAGACAATAAAAGGAGCCACTAAAAGAAGAAAATAAAAAAAGAAGAAAGCATGCAAAGCGCATGCACGGGTGTACAGACACCGCAAATGCATGCATGTGTTTTTCCCAAAATCGAACAAATAAAAAAAGGAAATGCATTCTAATTATTTGTCTTAAATGCAGAAATAAATAAATAAATAAAAGAAATGCAAAAAGAGAAAATGCACGCAGCAAAAGGGACTTTTGTTTCATCACAGTTGAAAACAAGAAATGAAAATGAAGCCCAAAAGGACCCTAGAGATACCAAAACCCTAAACCCTAAACCCTAAACCCTAAGCCCTAAACCCTAAACCCTCACTCGTCGAGGCAAAGCAAAGAAGACCGCATGGGGATGCAGCCGCCACCGGCGGCGAAGCAGCTGCAGACGCGACTGCAGCAGCAGCAGCAGCACAGCAGCAGCAGCAGCAGCAAATAAGGAAGGAGACACAAAAGAGACACAAAAATACAAACAGAAAAACGACACCCCACGGCAAGAGCACAAGCAAGCGCAGTGGCGGCAGCAGCAGCAGCAGCAGCAACAGCAGCAGCAGCAGATGGTGCACACGATACAGTGGACAGACCCCACAGAGCTCGCTCTCTAGGCCGCGGAGTCACCCTCGGCAGCAGCCTCTGCAAAGCCTAGGGTTTAGGGTTTAGGGTCTAAGGTTTAGGGTTTAGGGTTTACCATGACGAGCTTGACGTCCCGCATGCGGTCAAACTGCAAAAAGAAACCTGTCTCCTTCCAGCCCTCGAGCTGCAGCCGCACAACTGCAGCAGGAAAAATCTTTAGCTGCTGCAGCAGCCCCCGAAATTCTGTCTCCGTCACATCTCCTTGCCATCCGTAGGTGAAGACCTGCAGCAGCAGCAGCAGCAGCAGGAGCAGCAGCAGCAGCAGCAACACAAGAAGCGCTTTCAGGAGATGCCAAACTCGCAGCAGCAGCCACTGCAGCACAAGAAACGACTCCAGGAGACACCAAAGCAGCAGCAGCAGCAGCAGCAGCAGCAGCAGCCACTGCAGCAAAAGAAGCTCTTTGAGAAGACAGCAACAAATAGGAAACCAGCAAACACCGCATGCAGAGGCTGACAAAACTTCCCTTGAAAACCAAACCCTACACCCTAAACCCTAAACCCTAAACCCTAAACCCTTGCCTGGAATTTGCAGAGAACTGGCAGATAGTCGAGATCTTCATGCGACACAAACAGGGCTGCGCGGCCTGCATGTCCCAGCCCCAAACCATAAACCCTAAACCCTAAACCCTAAACCCTAAACCGTAAGCTGCTACTCTAAAACCCTAGGCCATTCGTCGAAGCGTGTCCTCTGCGACCACAGCAGCAGAGGGGTGTTCAAACAGGCCTAGGGTTTAGGGTTTAGGGTTTAGGGTTTGGGGTTTAGGGTTTAGGGTTTACTGGCGTAGAGGAAAGAGCAGCCGAAAAGGTCTGGATAGGCCGGGTGGTTTGGAACAGCGAACTCCTGCAGCTGCTGCAGCAGCTGCTGCGCGTCTGCTTCAGTTTTGCAGCAGCAGAAGCAAAGTTGCTGCTGCTCCCCGCGCCGCCCGTACGTAAACACTATGTCTTCCTTGTCCTGCAGCAGCAGCAGCAGCAGCAGCAGCAGCAGTAGCAGCAGCAGAA